GTTCCTCGTATGGCTTGAACTAGTTGTGGAATCCCGGGGCTGGGGAGGAGTACTTTTATACCCCAGAGGTCAGGGATTACTAATACAGCAAAACTTTAATGAGGGCAGGGTGTCCAAAGTTTGAACTAGGGACAGGGGTATTGCATCATAGTGACGCAGTTGTTCGTTGCGCCTTTTCTAACAAAAAAAATATAAATAATTATTTGGTGTATTGTGTGACATGTATATAATATGATTGATCGATGTGGATGCATAATCACTGTCCCTGGTAGTAGTAGATGTAACGAAGAAGCATGACGAAGGAGAAGGTGCCACATCCCTGTTCCCCCTTTCCTCTCCCTCATTATCCGCCATCGTTGTGCTCAGCAACCCGGTCACCACGCTCTGTTGTATCTGCATGGCATCGTCATAAATTTTAAGATGTTTCTGTGTTGCAGAGGAAACAGAAGGATTGAGGAGAGAAGTGTCGGAAGAAAATTTGAACCCCCGTTATTTGGCGTATGCAGCGGAAGCATCTCGAATTCGTCAGCAGTTGACCATTCTTCGAAATTTAGTTGCCGATGCTCGTAGAGAGTACGTCTCCGACATTGGCCATCCCAGAAGAGTTGCTGTCTCTCATACAGCTTGTGAGTTTTATCGTATTTTTGCTATAAAAATTAACCACCCCCTCCCCCTACACACCACGCTTATGTAGCTCTTCAGAAATACAAAGCAGAGTGTGGTACTATACTGCCACATCCGTTGTGTTGAGTTGTTAGAGTAGACAACTACTGAAATACCTTCGAATGCATTAGCTGCACCAAAAAAAACGCTCTTTTAAAGAAAGATCATCTTTTTTTGTGAATTAAATGCGAAAGTGAAACCTGAAAGGGCTGGATTAGAAGAGATGTTTCATACACCACAGCTATTGTCTTATCTCCTTGAAACAACGGCTGCTTAAAATTCCTTCAGCGCCGCAATTTAGGATGATCTACCCGTGACTACAGCAGCTACGCCGTAACTTAAAAGCTTTGTAAGTGCGATGCACAGCCGTTTTCTCATTCGGCCTTTTTACGCA